CTCCGGCCCTCGCGAGCTGCGCCCGGCTGGCGCTCGCCGAGCGGAGGAGCCGGCGGCACGGTAGCAACTCGGAGGGCGGCTGCGCCCCTGCCCCGACTCCGTGCGACGGCCGGGCGTCTCTGAGGTATTCCGTCTCGTAAAGGGGAACTTTGCGCAGGATCCCGCAGCCGGGAAGCCGGAGGAGGAGGTGGTGGAAGGGAGGGAAGCCAACGTGCGGAAACAAAAAAAAAGAAAGAAAAAAGAAAAAAAATATTTTTAGCCAAACGATGCCGGAGCGGGGCCCGGGGGCTCCCGGCGAGCGCCGACCCGCCGCGGGAGCGCCGTAGGAGCGAAGGCTGGCGCCGGAGCGGGGCGGGCGCCCCGGCGGAGCTCGCTCCCCGCAGCAGCGGCAGCCCCGGCGCCCAGAGCCTTTTCTTGCCTCCCGGCGATTAATGGAATGATGTTGCGGAAAAGGCAGAGCGATCCTGCCGGGCTCAGTCGGGACTGCTCGGGCGGCGGCGGCAGAGGCGGTGGCAGCGGGGTAGCGAGCGGCATGCGAGTGCCCCCCCGGCGCTATGGCTAGCGGTGGCTCTGGCAAGTCCAGCAGCGAGGTGTCTGGCGGCGGCATCCCCAGCAGCGGTTCCCTGCAGAGGAAGAAGCTCATCTCTATCTGCGACCACTGCAAGATCAAGATGCAACTGGTGGCTGATCTGCTTCTGCTGTCGAGCGAGACCAGGCCGGTGAACACCGAGAGCCTGTCTGTCTTCGGCGAGTCCTTCGAGAAGTGCAGGGACACGATCATTGCCAGGACCAAAGGACTCTCCATCTTGACCCATGACGTCCAGAGCCAGCTCAACATGGGACGCTTCGGGGAGGTGGGGGAAAGCCTGATGGAGATGGGGGAGCTGGTGGTTTCCCTGACCGAATGCTCTGCCCACGCTGCCTACCTGGCTGCAGTGGAGACTCCGGGGGCCCAGCCTGCTATGCCTGGCTTGGTGGATCGCTACAAGGTGACCCGATGTAGGCATGAGGTGGAGCACGGCTGCGGGGTCCTCAAGACCACCCCTTTGGCAGACATGAGCCCTCAGCTCCTGCTGGAGGTTTCTCAGAACATGTCCAAGAACTTGAAATTCCTGACAGACGCCTGCGTGCTGGCCAGTGAGAAATCCAAGGATAAATTTGCTAAGGAGCAGTTCAAACTCAGTGTCAAATGTATGAGCACCAGCGCCTCTGCCCTCTTGGCGTGTGTCAAGGAGGTCAAGACTTCGCCCAGTGAGCTGACCAGGAACCGATGCGTCTTGTTCAGTGGACCTTTGGTGCAGTCTGTCTACGCTCTGGTGGGCTTTGCCACTGAGCCCCAGTTTTTGGGTAAAGCTGCCACCATTAATCCAGAGGGCAAAGCTGTGCAAACTGCCATCCTAGGAGGAGCCATGAGTGTGGTATCTGCTTGTGTGCTCCTGACCCAATGCCTCAGGGATATAGCCCAACACCCCGAAAGTAGCACCAAAATGAGCGATTACAGGGAAAGGTTGAGGAACTCAGCTTGCGCCGTCTCGGATGGTTGCAACCTGTTATCTCAGGCACTAAGAGAAAGATCTTCACCCAGGACTTTACCGCCAGTGAACTCCAATTCTGTGAATTAACCCCCACATCTTCTGTTTAGATCCCAGTCATTGCTAAAGGAAAATAATATCCCACCTCCTCACCCCTTTTTTTGTATACCAAAGAATTTGCTTGGATGAGCCCCATCCTTTGATTTCATGCGGTGAAGAAGCAGAACACATTCAAACCATACGTACTAATAAAGGTAGCCAGTTTTGGCTTCTTTTTCTTTAAAGTCAAGCAAGTATCTGCAGATAAATTTTCCTTTATTCAACAAGGTCTTCACACAAATGGTAATAACTGTTTAAAAGTTTTTTATATTTGGGGAGGTGGGGGTATCTTAAAAAAGGAGAAAAAAAAAAAAAAAAGCTTTAATCGCGCTGGGTGCGGTTTTTAAAGTTTGTCTTGTCTTGTCTTCCGAAATTTCCCTTCTAAATTTTACTGTTCGGTTGTGCAGGAAAAAGGTTACCTCAGTTCTCACTCATTTAAAAAAAATGAAAAAAAAACCAACAACACATAGATGATGGATGTAGCTACTATTTTGTTTGTTTTTGTTTTGTATGACTTTTTTTTATTTTGCATCAAGTGTTAGGTTAGAAGTGCATTTGGTGTGTAGGAGTGGAAGGACTGGAGGTTGTGATTATGTTTTCCATGTGTTGATTTCCAAACTGGGGGAAAAGCTACTGTGAGTGTTTAAACAAACAAACAAAAAATTACACTATAACAAAAGTGATTTTTAATTTTTTTCCAATGTCAGTTTTTATCTTGCATGTACTGGAGTATTTATTTCATCTATTAAAATGTTATGTTTCTCAGATGTCTTTCTGTGAATCTCTTAATACTTGAATAATTGAACAACTAGGCCTGTTTGCATTGTATGTCATTTCCCCCAGGGAATGGGTGGTACAAATGTTACTGTAGTTCTAGACAGCAGCATACAGGCCTCAATTCAGTTCTATTTTCATAAGTACTGTCCCTCCCCCAGTACTATCCCTCCTCCTCAGGACACCTCTGACAGAGATAACTCTGTAGTTGTGTTTGTGGAAAGCTGGACAGTGCTGTAGGCATTGGGATTGCTGTCTGCAGAGCGCTGCCGGTTGCTGCAGTGGCATAGGCTGGCTTTGTTTGCCTTTATCAGCATTCTGTGTTACCTTTTGAGAAGTTTTGTATTTTAACTTTTGCAGGTGGTGTGAGCCATCGGTGTTAAATTTGTGAGTTTCCATAACAATTTATTTCTTGAAAAACATTACCCTGCTGGATAGCCCTGTGTGTGTTGCATGTGTCTGCTTAGGACTGTGAAGGTTTGGCGGAGTGGGCCCTTTGATTCCTCAGAGGTTTGTGTTGGAGCTCCTCAGTACAGATTTCTGTCAAAGTAGTCCGAGTTTGATGTTGTAGATAACAGGAAAAATTCGCTAACTTTTGAGGCGCGGTCCACCTCCAGTTGAATTCCTTGGGAATTGTGAGTGAACCTTAGGGGTACGCTGCAGTAGTTCCCATAATCGCAATGATGATTTTTTTCAGCCTGGTCTTTGTGGACCCGTGGGATCTGTTGCCTTCTATACGTTCCATGAAAGGTAAATAGAAGAGCAAGTCTTCGGGCTTTGTTTGTCTGCCCAGCTGCAGTGCATAATTGGATTTTTTTTTTAATACGTCTGCAAATTGAACAATGTTGAAAGCTATTGGAGAATGTACCTAAAAAATGTGGTTACCGTGGTTTGAACCTTTACTGTACAAGTACTGTCCTATTTCTTCCTTTGAATAAGTAAACCTTTTGGTTTGGGATATGGAACAGTCCTGGAATGGTGAAAGGTCTTCCTTTTATAGCTTTATTGTTTCTCTTGCATGTGATGCTTTTACTTAATTTCAAAGGAGAGTGAAACATTACTGGGTTGTGGACAAATACATCCTGTTGAAGGAGATACAAGCTAAGCTTATATATCTGTATATTCAAGGTTAGAAAAAAAATAATTCCTGGACTTAAGTATAGTGGACCCCAGTATTAGGTTTTGTTTATTTTTAAATGAAACTTTTCTGACTTCAGTGAATTGTATGATTAGGACTTTTCTTTGTGAAAAATCAGTCCAAGCTACATTCCCCTGGGGTATGGTTTTCTCACTGTGTTATATCTCTGATGCAATACAAGCCTAGCAGTATACGCTGCAAAAAGGCATGGATGTCTGCATCTGTGTGGTACAGTATAAAAGTCTTCTCACTGTTTTTTCATAAATAAATATTTCTTTATCAAAACACGCTGTTCTACCTTTGAGTTAGATGCCTCCACAGGTATTTCCTCAGCAGCTCTCTCACATGTGTGCACACACACGTTTTCCCATCTGGATGGCAGGAACAGCTGTAGGACTCCGGAGGAATTCATAGGAGGCCAGGGCCATCTCCAGGGAGGTCCTGTGCCTCTGTAGTGTTTGCAGTTGTCTGTTGAACTGTCCTTTCTATCACCCTCGCTTGTAGCATGTCTCTGTGGAAGCCGAGATACTGTTCCAATCTACCCTTCCTTCTTTTCCGCAGTTGCGCTGAGGGGAAGGAGGAAAAAGGGATTGTAGCAAACATAATGCTTTCAGGATGTACTATCTTGTGTGGCTGCAGACAGGAGGTGAGGAGCTGGCTCCACCCTTCCTTTGCCTAGATCCTAGATGGTGCAGAACTTCGTGTGGGACGTGCGGAGATGGTGCTGAGGAGGCTGCAGGGCAGTGCTGCTCAGGGAGGGTGCGGGTACTGGGGTGGCATCCTTTAGCTCCAGTGCTTTTAAGTTACTGTGACCTACATTCGCGAGGACTGCTTCCAGCTATAAAGTCAGAGGATTCTGAAGGGCAGCTCTGCAGCGTGTCTGACAAAAAAAATGTAACGTCCCACTGGCTCCTTTGATGTTTCTACTTAATAATTTTTGGTGCTGCTGAACTAATTAGATTCTTTTTGATTCATTTATACATTATTGAGGTTATATGGATCACAGTGCAGCCTCCTTATTACCTCTGCATATGAAAGGCAATATGTTATTAATGATGACAGTGCCGATTTTTGTTGTGGTAAGACTTTGTTTTAAGTGGTTTAGTGCAATTTTTGTTTTAACAAGGATACTGCAGATTCTTTCCCCCTTTCTGATTATATTTTGAAGTGAAGTACATGCATACATGTATAAATAAGTATGTATCTTCTTTTTCCTTTTTTAACACTGAAGGAAAACAAACTGCTCTAGATCTCCCTTTGCTTTTGAGGTGTGTGGGGTTTTGGTGGATTTTATAAAATAAAACATGAAATGTAGCCAGGTCATGATTTTAGTTAACAGGCTGATTAAAAAAAAAAAAAAAATACACAAGTAGTAAATTCACCAAAGTAACTTACTGTAATATTTTAAAATAACAGTTATTTTCAAACTTCAAAATGTTCAACATTTCTTTCCAGAGTAGAACTCATACAAAGGGAGCCATGCACTCCCTGGCCTCAGCTCAAGAGCGTATCTGTCAAAATCTGTGCTGTTCATATAATTAGCACAGCAAAGTTTAAAAACAAAAAGAAAAAAAAAGGCTCCATGCAAACAAGTACAACTGTTTTTATGCACTCTCAGTAAATGATTAACAGGAAAAAGTCTATATATACATATGCACGTTGTGGCATTTTTCTGAGCTGAAAGAGTGTGGTTCCACTACTAAGCGTGAACATATATTTTAAATGCTGTAGTGCCACATTTATAAAGACAGTGTATATTGCAATAATTTATTTGGAATGTATTCCTATAGAATATTCTGATATAAGACATTATTTCAGTAGGTATTTTCATGTTGCTCATTTACTTTGTACTCTCTGGGACAGAAAAAATACATAATGAACTAGTTTTCAGGGTGCAATTGCAGGCCCCGTCGAGGTCACTGATTATCACTTGGCGTCATACTTTAGGCCCTTGTTGCCCAAATGCTTACACCATTTAGGTCAACAGGTAGTGTCGTTATTTCAACATAGGGTTAGACAAGCATGAGATGTGTTTTCTGATCTAGAACCTTGGTGATTTTGACAAAAGAAAACTTAATATTTCAGAGTGCTTATATCACATATGTCATAGATCTACTATAATAGTGCTTTTAATAAAAGGGTTAACTTATTTCTAAACACATTATGCAATGCACATTTATAGCCAAAAATAACACTATCCCCACCAGAAGAGAATTAAGCTTATTTTTTTAAATGTAAAATTTTTTTAACAGGGAAGAAGTTGTCACTTTCGTATTGTCTATGAATTTGATACTACTCTTTAGTTGCTGCTTCATCATAGCAAAGTTCATTACTGATTTAATACAGCAGCTGAATCTCCGAATTTGAGATCGGACCAATGTGTTTTCTGATTCTAAAAAAAAATAAGTTCTGTAAGACAATCACTAAACTAGCAGCAAAATGCTATTGAAAAACAAGTACACTTTTTAAGGGAACTTGCAAATGTAAATCCATGTTATTTTTCAAAACTAAGAAAAAAAAAGACCATGGGTCAGATAATTCCCTTCACTTTTTACCACAGGAAATGATCAAAGTAGCAGAAAATCTGCTCTTTTTGGCCAAACTTCTGTCAGAGACAGAAGGGGTCGAGCCAACACATGGTGTATGCAGTCTTGCAGCAAGAGGGGATGTGGCTGATGGGAAAGGAGGCGGAACCAGAGAAAATCTGTAGGGTAATACCTCCTATTAAACCCACAGGAATTTTCCTATTCTAGATAAAACAGAGGCTGATCCAATAAAGCAAATCTCAAACAACGCAACCTTTCTTTCCAGGCTATTAGACGCTTGTGAATGAAGATGTGGGGCTAGGAGCGTTTGGGATGCTCTGCATCAAGCAGTGGTATTGCTGTAGGGAACCAAGGGCCTCTAGAGTTGAGCTAAGATATGTAAGAAGTACAGGCAAAAATGTGTACCTGCCAGAACAGTTTGGTGGGAAATGAAGGGGTTGGGTTTTTTTTTTCTTTCTTCCCTATCAGGCTCTTTCTAGACTTTATAAGCAGAAGCAGATGGTAGGGACCAGTACATTTTACTTCTTTGTTCTTGCTGCCTGTGAAAGGTGCCAGATGGGCAATGATAAAGATAGAAATTCTCTTCCTGTAGCCCAGGGATAGCAACAAAACTGCAGAGCTTCAAGGCTGCCCTATCCTCACAGGATCACCATAGCATGTTTTTTTTTAGGCCTACTGCTTTCGCTCTTTGACTTTTTGCCACGAAACTGACAGAAAATCCCAGTGGCAACTTGACAGGGGCATTAAGACCATTAAAATATTTAACATAGGACACCAAACCACGTCAGGTTTCGATCATTCACAAACGGGCCAAAAAATATACAGGCTAGGTATGAAGTGCATGGCTAGATCCTTCATATGAATAACTTGGAAAATTAAATACTATCTACTCTGAGAAGTGTTTATTTACTTGGGAATTATGAATTATCAAAATTTTTGTGTAAGAGTAGTTCAAAGGTATGTTTAATTAACATAATTAGCAGCAGTATTCTGAACCATTTTCTTAATGAAGATGGACATCTATGGACATGAAGGGCCTCATCCATGACTCAGTGAAGTCTATAATTAAATATTAATATTTCCCACAAACTATGTTAAAATGTTAGGGGTCGTTTCATGTTGCAAAGCAAGGAATTATATATTGATTTTCATTAATCTGAATCTTTTCCTAGTACTGGTTTTATTGTACTAGAGTCCTTTGAACCTAAGGGTTTTTTGTTTTGTTTTGTTTTGTTTTTTTTAAAACCACACAGTGTATGATGCTATATTCCGACAAAGTCAAAAGCAGCATTTCAAAATTAATGCAG